ACTTAATGAATAAAAATCCTTCTTTATTAAAAATGAAAATAAATTCATTATTGCTCAGTGCAACTTTAATCTCATTTGGAGGTGGAGCTTTAAATTCTGTGCCATACTCTCCCATAGACAGAAAATGGGTAGTCAGAAGCTCAAAAATGCTTAGCATAATGAAAAAACTAGATTTGACAGGCATCGCATGAGAGCCCAGAGCCAGAAGCAGGGAGATTACCTATTTCTCTGTTTTACACCAGGGATTGGCTTCTTTCTCATTTTTAAAGCACTTCAACTAGAAATTCAAGAACATAAAATTCCCCATCATCATTACCGTGTTTTAGCAAATATAATGCGCACTCATGTATAACCCACACTCGTGTATAACCCACGGTTTTTCTTTGCTGTGTAAAAAAAAAGTAGATTACCCGCAGACGTGTATAACCAGTGGGTTCTATAGGCTAATTCATGGTAATTGCATATACCAGGATAAACTGCCAATGTTCTGCATTCCATCCATCTTTTGTTAGGTAGCCATCCTGCTGCCAGCCGGGAGCAGCGCGGGGGGAAGAGGGTTACGGAGAGCGCAGCGCAGGCAAGCTGGCCAGCCTGCAGGAGCGGAGCCACACTCGTGCCCATGCCCCATGCAGCTGCAGCCAGGCACATCCCATGCACAGCGCAGGCGCCCTGGAAGCACATCAGGCCCTCCCTGCAGTGGAGCGGAGCTGACCCAATTCTAATGGGGCAGAGCTGCTTATGAGTAAAAATAAACTTGTATACCCCGTGGACATATATACACCGTGAGGGAGAGAGGGCGGGGTTTGTAAAAACATGCATAACCCACGGGTTATATACGCTAATTTATGGTATGTTATTCAAAGCAGCACCTAGCTCGTTCACAATGTGATGGTGGTTTCACAGTTGACATCCAGGAGATACACATTGCAATATTTTATAGAAATGAATATAAAATATTTCCTGCAAAATAGGAACAATGAAGATGTAGACAGGTTACACTCATGACATTGCCTATGTTTTTGGAAGTTTTGCTGATTCTAACAGTATTTCTCATTTGAAGACGGGATATTTTTCAGACTGGTGAACCTTTCATCAAAAAAGATGACTTGCTTTGAATGTCCCGCATGTAAGGCATGAGTCTGTAGGATATTCAAAAAGTAGCACTAAAGGGAATATAAGTGAGTTCTCTAAAATAAAAAAAGTAAAAGCAATATACAAAAAAAAGTTGAATCCCTCAGGAGCACAACTGTAGAGATGGACATATAAAACAAAGAGGTACTAAAATCAACACTTTAGTAAACCATTAAATAGAATATTTAATTACAAGCTATAGAATTGCAGAGCATCTTTCCACATTTTCTATCCTGTGCAGAACAGAAATCAGCTACACATCTTTTGTTGCATCTTTTGTTGACTATTATAGAACCTTCTATAATGACACCTAATCTCATCATCAAAACATAGAATTTCCTTATCAAAGGAAATTGCCTAAACACTAGGCATCAGTTCCCAAATAATCACTGAAAACAGAGGCACTAGAGGACATTAAATGTCTTTAGAAGACACACAGCTTCATGATCTGATGTGTATGGCTCCTGGGTGACATACTGTTTCCAGTGAAGCCAAAGGTCATTTCTGGAACTTCTTATTTCTGAAAAAGTTTGCTGGGATATACATAACCTTACATGCAGCACACTCACTTCTAACCCTAGAATAATTCTTTCAATGTGGGGAAAAGCAATCATGATCTTTCCGAATGGAGGCACAAATTAAGCTCAATGTCCCTTTTAGATAATAAATAATATGATGTTAATAAAAGAGCTAATCAAAACATTTCCGATGGGAATGTTTTTCTATTGGAAAGTGTGGACTCAATGAAATGTAACTTGCTTTAAGAAATAGTCATTTTGTTGAAATTACATTTAGGAAAAAATGAAAATGACTTTTTGAATCGATCAAAACATTCCATTTTAACATACCTGGAACAGAATATTTGGATTTTTTATTTGGAAATGACCTTTTCTTTAAACTTTTCTTTACTAGAAGAATTATCCAGTGTTTCTCTGGTCCTCCAGGGCAGGGGCTTGCAATGGGAGGTGCAGAAGTCATGGCATAGGGTTGAGAGGTGTGGGAGGCTCACGTCAGGAGGTGGGGATGCAGGAGTTAGGGTAGAGTTGAGGGGCTAAAACCGGGGTAATGGCAGAGGGCTGGGAGCTATGAGTGGGGGAGTGACTGGGCCACCCACAGCAGTATAGATATAACTGCAGCTGCTGCTCCCCCCCGCCCCACCCCATCTCCTTCAGGGGAAGCCAGAGCTGTGGTGCCTGACCTCAACCATTAGCTCCTCTGGGGAAGTGGGCTGGGGCCACCAGACAGGGGCAGATGACAGTTTTGCGGGGCCCCAGGCAGCATAATTCCGCGGGGGCCCCCCTTTGCCAAGGCGCATGTGCAGCAACACCATGCGCATGCGCAGCGGCGCCACGGCGCATGCGCGGGGCTTTATAAAGCATGGGGCGGCCGCCCCGTTCACCCTGCCCTATATCCGCCCCTGCCACCAGATCCTCTGGGGGAGCAGCCAGGGAACCAGGGCTGTGCTACCCAGCCTTGGCCACTGGCAGGACTTCTCTAGGAAAGGGAGGTGGCCGGGGGAGCCAGGACTGTGTGGTCTGGCCTCAGGCACTGGTAGTACTTCTTGGGCTGCAGGCTGGCAGCCTCCCCCATCTGGTGCTGTGGCCAAGGGCTGGGGAGAGGGGTTTGGATCATGAGGGCCACTTACCCGGTCTGGTGGCTGGCAACATGGAGAACCCGAGTTCCAGCTGGCCACTCACTTCCTGATGTGGCCACCCCTCTGTGGCACTTTGTAGTATAGTGGTCCTGCTCGCAGTGCAGTGGTCTCTCTGCCGAATAACTCCCCCTTCCTAAGTCCCCTACCTTTCTGTGTTATGGGAAACAACTTCATTCCAGGCACATCCCATTTTCCTAGCACAACCAAACCCTGACCTTGCTTCATGTTAGGATAAGAGGAAGCTGCTTACCAAATTTCGTGGCCCTAGCTCTTACAGTTAAATATCGAAATTATTATGAACAAATTATTTTATCAAAATGAAGTGTTTCAATTGGCCTCACACAATTTTTTTGGAAATTTCATTCACAATTTTTCAATATTCTTTGGTTTTGTTGAAACTCAGAATGTAATGAATGTTGAAATAATGGAATTTCCCATGAAACATAAATTCCTCTTCCCTCATCATATGAGTCAGTAATAACATAATTAAAAATCAATGTTTTTTAAATTGGTTTTTAGTTTATAGTGTTCTATGCCCTGATATTTGCTACATTATGGGGTATTTTTTCTGCGTCACTAATTATGAATTTAGTGTAAAATCAGGATAAGATGCTATACGAAGCAGCACATGGTTTATGAATTTTTTAACCAGGCTGTTTCAAATGACATAATTTAGGCAGCCAACTTGTGTCAGGCCTTTATACCCTTCTGGAATTTTTATGTGAACTGGTTAAGCAGCATAAAATAGCTGCTCATTTCTATGCACAATGTTATAGATTCTCTTGGTTTTTAATTTTGATGTTTTCATCAAGCAGTACTAAAATATTGATTATCTCCAGAGATTTCAGTGTCTTATGTATCCAAAGTTCTTTCCTTCTTTGTGACAATTTGTCTGTTATTATATAAATACATGTTTTCCTTGCTTTCTTTAAAAATACCTTCACATTTTTGTGTTCAGATTCATTTTCTGTCTGACAATACATGTAGGATTATATACCCTCAACCCTGTAGGCATCAATGTAGTTGTTCTGCTGTACGTGGTTGTTCCTTAATTGGAACTGTAAGTATACTTCACAGTTTCCAAGCTGATGATCTCCTGCTTCACCATGACTTGTGCAGACACTTCCTATGCTGTGTTCATTCAGTAAAGCTTAGCCTTTATGGTAAAACTTACAGACCTTGATCTCAAATTGGAGCTGCAAAAGTTTGAGTTTACAGGTCTATTCAAAGCATTCTCCTTTTCATATTTAACATCCTGTAGCCAATTCTTTTGTGTGTTAAAGCTTTCCTCGGCTTTCATGTAATTCTGATAACCTGAACTTCCTTCAGAGTGCTGCACATGTTAAATTCTGCAGGAGTTCTTTCCCATTGAATGAAGAGAATCTGGTTTCTAGAGAAAATATAACAATAGCAGTCCTAGAAATGACAGCTGTAGAGCAGTTTTGAACCTGGCCAACAAAACTAAGATTTCCTACCTTGACATGGCAATGTTAGGCAGGACTTTGAGGAATGACTTTGTAATCCTGATTGAGAGAGATCTTTTTAGGGGTGAAAAAATATTTAAGCCTCTGTGTCCATCCTATCTTTTGTGTCACTACTGACACTGCCAGCAAGGTAGCCTTGGTGAATTTTGGGTTGTGGACACTTCTCCAAAAATAAAAATGACTCCACCAATTTTTATATATGGAGCTCATCTTGTAGATGCTATATTTCATGGGCTGTCATGACCTTCAGTATTGTACTGTATTCTGACACCAGAGATGTTTTATGTAATAATTCTAGTTGGGCTATGATAGGAACATTATATTATTATTTATTTATAACATTCATATTATCCTCTCATCCCTTTGTTCCTGCAAATCTATTAATCTGGCTCATCTCACCCTAACCTCTATTTCTAAATAATTAATGCAATCTCTACAGGTTGATCACATTCTCTCTCTTATTACTAATAACTGTACACTTACATAAATTCCAATGCTGGGGGGGTTTCTACTTTGAAAATCTGCATTTTTTCCATGTAAGGACTTGGGAAGGAGGATATTATAGTTAAAGGGAAGTAGTCAATAAATAACAAAAAGAAAGAAATGAATTTACTTTGGAACACTACCTCTCCTGATAATACAATTGGTCTAAAACACATATATGGTTTTTTTCCTTCATTGCAGAATCACCTTCTTTTAGACATTATGTTTACTAACCTTTCCATGCTTTCCTTCAGGTACAGTTAAAATCACTGTATCTAACATGGGATAACTGACAAGTTGCCACTCAGTACTCCCATCACAGTATGTATCAACATCTTGTGGAAGCCTTAGAAGTCCTATCTCCATCAGATACAAAGCAGTAGTTAGTGGCACCAAACATTTCTTTCCCCGTGATAATTCTGTGGAAAGGGCCATTTGAAATAACAGAGCCACCTGTGAATTCTGAAAGTTCTAACAGGCAAGTACAATTTTATAATCTGCAAAAAAGGAGAGAAACATCAATGCAGCTACTCATGGCAGACAAGCTACTATGGCTACTTGCCAAAGACATTTACTTACCAGCTGAAGACCGGATAGATCATAGAGTAAAATTTTAATTGAAGAAAATATTTACAGCCTCACCTGTGGACACACAGGCATCAATTTCTGCTACATATTTTGTGGAAGTAGCCCTTATCAGTTCTAAAGACTTCCAGTCAACTAAGGACAAAAAGATAATATCAATATTAAGGATGATTTTACTTGCTGCAGTCTTTATAATAGACACAGGCTTTGATACCATCAAATTCTTGACAACAGTCATTGCTTCAAACATAGTGTAGACAATTTCAGCTACCTCTACTAACATAAAAGGCAGAGCAATTACACCAAGCAGTTGCTCATGCACATGTTAATGAGAGGTAATACTGTGGAGAGCTATTTTCCCCCTCAAACAATGGGGAGGCAGTGTTAGGCTATGTCTGTATTGGTAAGGGTTGGCAACAGAAGTGCTGTTGATGTGCAAAAGTCACCAAAAATGAAAATCAATCAAACCTTTTGTTCTGCCTCCCATTGTTGACGTTTCATGACCACACTGCTAGCACCCTTTTGACAGATAGAGCAAAGCAATGTGGGTAAGCTTTCCACAGTGCAGTGTTGCAGGAAAGCAGAAGTGATCCTTGCACTTCTTGGGATTCCCTCGTAGCTGTGAGCTCTCTGTGCTGAGGAATGTCAAAGCAGCACAGCAATCTCTCCAGCCCTCCCCCTGCAGCAACGGTCTGCCTGCCACTGTGTTCCTACCAAGGCAGAACAGGAACATTCCAGTGATTTGTTCTTTTGGTTTGAACACTTCACTCAGATGTCAGGTAATTCCCAGAACTTTCAAAGGGGAGGGATACATGCCTGCAGGGCAGCAGAGATCACAAAACACTGAGTACAGACATCAGGTCAGGCATTGTGGAATACTGGTGGAAGCCAGTTCTCTTGACAAAACAAACAGCAGAGTCCACACTGGCTCTCCCCAGGTGAATGCCCTATCCCCTAGGACATGCTACAACCCACCCCATCGCCTTAACTTCAGCGCGTCCCTTATCCCGCTTTCCACTGGGGAGGCCTGGGTGTTGACTTTCCCGTCTCTGTCCTCGTGAGGGGGGCAGGACTTGAACGCACCACCCTGCCCTCCCCAGGATGACAATAAAGGGAGGTGAAAAGACAAAAATTTCTCACAGGGCTGGAAGTTTTTTGTTGCCAAAACTGAGTGTTTTTCCCAACAAAAGTTGCATTGCAGCATAAACGCTTTCACTCTTTTGTCACTAAAAGGTAGGTTTTGGTGACAAAACATGTCAGTGTAGAAAAGTTCTTACAATCTAATAATATAAATTATAGCTTCCAGCTCCCTTCTGTTAAATTCAAATACAGAATGGAGAAGAGGATATTTTTCCCCAGGGGAAACAGAGTGGAAATATAGCAAAATGGATAGAAGAAGTGATCAATATAAGGTACGTCCTGAGCTTAGGACAAACATTTTTCCCTTGCATGTTTATAGTTCCCTGTAGAGGATCCAAGAGAGGGAAGCCAAATGCAAACTCAAAAAAAAAATTCCCTGTCTATAAGATCCTTAGAGACGGAGTAATTCCAACAACAGTTAATGAGGCCATAACCTCAGCGCCTTATTTCAGAACTCCCAAATGGAAAGTCCACAGAAAGAGTCCTATGGTCCGGTTCAGCTACTCCCATGAATGAAAGAAGTGATGAGATGAGGGCTTTCCCTCCCATCAAAAAACAATCTGCATGGCTTTTAGTCCCCTTTCTTTTACTTAGAGTTCCTATTTCTGTTTAAATAGACTAGTCCCTGGTTGGGGCAGAGCACATCCTGGAATATACTCAAGCTCTTTTGTTGGTTGTAGGCTCCAGCCTGTCCCTTAAAGGAATAGTTATACATCTTCATAATCTCACATCATCCTGTCTAGTGAAAAGAGAAGCAATAAAAAATATAGACTTCTTAGCATATGTGTGACATGCTTCAGATGGCACATGACGAAGTTCACTGGTTAGAACATTAGCTTCTCCGGCTTGTGCTGGGTAGCCCATGGGAAATTTTTCTAAAAATCAACAGTTTACAGCTATCGACTCACGCAATAGCAAGGATTGCATTGTTCTGTATGTCTGACAGTTCAATTGGTTAACAAAATGAGCTGAAGCAAGGAGGAAGAATGTTAGCCTCTTATATTACCAATTCAAAAGGTAAATCCTATGATATCAGTATATGGAATTACAGCACGAGACTCAGCGTTAAGAGATCTGGATTCTAAATCACGTGCCATTGGGCAAGCCTCTGGAGGGTATGTGGTATGATTCCCACCACAGATAGATAGACTTACACTGGCTTAAAATACCAGAGTGTTCATTGTGGCTCAGTTGGAGCCCCAGTTTGGACCCGCAGAGTTGTGTGGGTTTGCACTTGAGCAGCTAACCTGTGCTGCAAAATCCTTCCTGTAATTTTTAGCTCAGTGGATCAGGCTGAGCGAGGAATCCCAGCTCCTAGCTTCAGGGCAGACATACACTTATCTTCCAATCTTTAAAACTGGAAATGCTGATAGTTTAGTTACTGATGTCACAGAGAAGCTGTGAAGCTAAATCCATTCATGTACGTTGTCTGTCAAATGCTATGTGGTCTACAAATGAAAGATAGTATAGGAATGACCAGCATTATTATCAGTGAGTAAATAATTTGCAGAAATAATTTATCTAATGGATTTAACCTCTTTTCCTGCTCATGCAGATTTTTACTGCATCAAAAGTTTGTTATTTGAGTTTATTCAGTTCCAATCAGCATTTTCAAAAATGTACTCTTCTGTAAATTGCCCCCAAACCTTTCATTGTAAATACTGGGTATGAAAATTAGAGCTGGGAGTTTTTAATGTATTTAGATTTATACACACAAGCTAAAAAAAAAATACTTGCCCCCATACTCTGAATTAATACTCAGTCATAACCAAGTGCAGAGTTACAGAACAATGTAATTAATTGTATTTGATCAGATAAATCAGGTTGTATTGTTTCTGTTCCACCACTGGATGACTGAATTTCCACATGCAAATATAACATTCATTTTCTGAATATTAGCCTTAATTTAGAAAAAGGAAAATTTCATCCTTGCAGGAGTTTTTTCTCTCTCTAAATAGGATACTTCCATCAATTGTTCCCTCTGTGAAGAACTCCTGCCTCTCTTCTCACACACTATAGCACAGTGGAACCAGATTGATTCTGCCAGGGAGCACCCTTAGGCTGTAGAGAATGCATAGTATTTGCCTCTTAGTGCACTGTTTGTCATGTCATGAGTAAAACTTTGGACAAATTCATTCTGGAGAGCTTGAGGGAGAGGGAGTTCTTCCCAGTGATGGGACCCTGAATGACAACTACAGAAACCTCCCCAATGCTGCTAAGGAGAAGAGATGGGTGACATTTTGTGACCCACCTTTTCAGTAAAAAAATGAAGTTTTGGTGACACTGAAATATTTAGTGAATATATGTCAATGTTGCTAAATTTGTGTTCATTGGAAAGAAACTAAACAACTTCCCCAGAAATCAAAACATTTCATGCTGACATTTTCAAAAAAAATGTGGGTTTTATTCAAAATTTCCTTTGTTTAAAAAAAGTGCTGGAAAACTAAACATTTAGGGTATGTCTAGACAACATGGCTCCGTCGACGGAGCCATGTAGATGAGTTTACTAGACATAGGAAAATGAAATGGCGATTTAAATAATCACTGCTTCATTTACATCAAAATGGCCGCTGCACTGTGCCGATCAGCTGCTTGGCAGCACAGCGGGGCAGTCTGGACGCTTCACAGTTGACAATGGAAGCCTTTGTTGACCACTCCATTATGCCTCATGAAATGAGGTTTACTGGAGCGGTCGACAAAGGCTTCTGTTGTCGACTGCGGAGCATCCAGATTGCCCCACTGTGCTGCTAAAAAGCTGATCAGCACAGCGTAGCAGCCATTTTGATGTAAATGAAGCAGCAATTATTTAAATCACCACTTCATTTTCCTATGTCTAGTAAACTCATCTACATGGCTCTGTCGACTGAGCCATGTAGTCTAGACATACCTTTAATGTTGTGTCACCAAAACATTTTGTTAACCCCCAATTCATGTTTTATGGCTGTTTAAATCATCATATATTTTTGTTCAACTATATAAAGATTTATTGTAACTGACAGCAAACTGAAAAATTCATTTTCATCAATTTCTCTTTAGGCCTGATGGATCTTTTCTATAGGTAATTTTATTGCAGTTGCACATAGATGTCCTAATGAAGATCTCAATTGTATTAGTTCTTGTTTAATATATCTTCTTGTATTAATACATGTCCCCAAAGGTATATAAGTTATGGTAGAGGTTCCCGAATGGGAGTATGCAATACATTTTTGGTGGGTGGGATATACAGGAGACATAATTAATAGTGGATTTTATTTATTGCTTTATTTATTAGATATTCATAATAGGCTAATCAGACAACTTTCCAGTTTTAAAGCTTTGTTATATAAAATACAACAGTTAATTCACTTCAAGAGGTACCAATGAGAACACATAAATAGACACTCTAACATTATATAGTCCTTATTTCCAATCATCATGTAGCATGGGTTCAGTTGCCCAACAATGTTCCAATCTAACTAAGCTCAGAACTTAGGGTTTCTTTTATTGTTGTATATGTTGCATAATAATTATACCCCTGCATAACCCTTACATAATAGTGAAATACGAACATATGTCTAAAGATAAGTAGTGTTAAAAAGAATAAAGAAAAGTATCCACAATGAGAGGGGTATGGATATGGGTAACTGGTATATCTGGAAAAGGGTATACAGTAAATTTGGGAACCTCTGCTCTAAGAGCATATCTACATTTCACTCACGAAGTGTAACTCCAGCTTGTATGGGCCTCCTAAACTAGGGGGCAGAGTCATGGCTAAACTGCTGAGTAGAACCCCTTCCATGACATTGGGCATGTACTTAGGAGAGTAACTCATGTTGCTGCCATGGCTAAACTGCCATTGTTACTCAAGCTAGCTTTGATCTATAGGGGCATGCCTGCACAAGCTGAGATCATACCACCTTCCTGTAGGGTAGACAAAGCTAAAGATGGCAAAGGAAGAGCTATTATCCCAATTTCTGAGAAGCAGAATGCAGAGAGGTTAAGTCACTTGCTCAAAG